AATAGGGTGGCTCAAGGAGTAGGGCGCTGGCCCCATATACCAGGGGTGGCAGGTTCAACCCCAGCCCCCGGCCAAAAGGAAAAAAAAAGTAACAAATAAAGCCTAAAATTAAAATGTTGTACATTATTCATGTCTTAGAGAAAAGTTATCTTTAGACTACTACCAAAAATTGAAAAATATAAACCATGAAGAATTATTATTTAGAGTTTTGGTAGGTGTTTATCTTTAGGGTTTCATCAGAAATGAGTAATGTATATCTTGATACTTTAACAGGCCTCTGCTCCTACAATATATTTCATAATATGTCAATTTGGCTTAAAAAAAACCTTACTGAGCAATGCAATTGATTTTATTTTTGTCATTTTTGTTTTGAAAACTAAAGAGAAACAAACACTATGCCACAAAGTAAATGAGAAAATATTTTTATACTCTGGACATTGAATGTTGCTTTTCTAACGGCCAGCCTGAGTCAGGGAGGTCTAGGATTAGATCCTGACTCAACCATCTCCTTCCAGTCACCTGGGGCCAATAACACCTTAATCCCTCCGGGCCTGAGCGCCTCCCCTATAGCCCAGACCAGCTATGGAGTGACCAGGGTGCTGAAATCTCCACCCAGCTGTTGCCAGGGCCTCATCTATAAGCCTGATAGCCTGTCAGGGCAAATAGTTCCCTTCACACCAATGCTCTTAGTATGTCCAAGGCTATTGTTATAACTGAAGCTTCATTCTTCAGTATCAGTTTTTTCTCATTGTGGGGTTTCTCTTTCTGCTCTCAACTTAAAAGTTAAAATGTCTTTGAAAAAAGTAATACCTGCATATGGCAAAAATGTAAAATATATAAGAGTGAAAAGTAGGTCTCCTCCCCAACACTGTTCCTAGCCTCCCAGAGCCCTTTGTAACAGGCACCATAATAACCACATTCCAAAGATGCCAGTGTGTGTGTGTAGGTAGACATTTAAAATATCACGTATCACATGTATATGTTATGTCATATTTTCTCCCTTAACACAGAAATGGCAGGATGCTATACACACCTTCCCCTTTATGTTGGTGACTGGTCTCCTCTGGTGGCTTCACAGCTGCCTCATTTTCCTTACAGCTGCAGAATATTTTATCTAAGGTACTGCCTTTTGGGGGTGTTTAGATGGCTTTCAATCCCTTGCTGTCACAGCAACAAGCTCACATCCCTGTACACATATCATTTGGCATATGAGCTAATGTGTCTGTAGGAGAATTGCTAGGTTAAAGGGTTTGTGAATTTAAAATTTTGACAGTCAGTACCCAATTGACCTCCTTAAAAGTTATGCTGACTCATGCCCCTCTCCTTGATGAGAACACCTTTCCCCCTCACACCTTTGCCAACGTAGCTTGCTGAGTACCCCTGCCAAAAACAAAGGTTCTCAGTATAGTCTTAACGCACATTTCACTTAGTGTGCCTGAAGTTAGCATCTCATCACGAGTCAAGCATCTGAGTCACTTGACCTCCTTTCCCTGGGAAACGTCCCTGAACTTTGCTCATCTTTCTGATAACATCATTGGTCTTTTCTGATTGACTTGTAGGAGCTCTTTAGGAAGTGAGCCCTGAGCTCTTTGTGACAGGGGTTGCAATTGTTTTTCCACAGTCTGCCCTTGTATTTTTCTTATTTTATTTTGCCAAGAAGAAATGGTGTATAATTACATAATTGCATTTTTCAATCTTGCCTTTTATGACTTTAGGGGACTGTGAGCTGCTAAATAGGCCTCCTCCACTTCAAGATTATAAATATCATTGCTTGTGTTTCTCTCTGGTTTTGTGGTTTTAGTTTTTACATTTAAATCTTTGAATCATCTGGAATTTATTTTCACATAGAAGTGAGGTCTAGGCTGTCCCAACACCATTTACTGTATGATCCACCCTCCCCCCAAGATATGGAAAGCCACCTTATATTGCAATGTCTATTTTAAAATGTATCATATCCTCCTACAGCGATCCTCTCTGTGCCTATCAGCGCTTCTGCCCTGCAGCCCATTTCCCCATCTTTCTCAGTCTCTCTGACTGTCATGCCTTCAGAAATACCACCCATACCTGTGCTAACCGCCTGCAGGTGAGCACAGTTCTCTCTTTTCCTGATCTTACAAGAAGCTAAGAGGTGGTGAGAGGTGATGAGAGGCACAAGGACTGAGAAGAGAAGGAACAGGGCCAGCTTTAGCAGCCAGCAGTCTGGAGTTCTGGCCCAGCACCTGTCCCCTGAAGGCCATCTTTCCTTCAGGGAGGACAAGGTACCCGGCATCCATTTCCCTACGGAGAGCAATCTCATCACTGTCACCAAAATAGTGTGAGAAATGACGCACAAGACACCTTAAACCACCTGATGCAGCTGCAGCTCCTGCTCCTGGGACTACACAGGACTGGCTCCAAACTTGACAGATCCAGGCAGCCAAGACACCCCCCCCCAGCCCTGTTTGTCCTTCTCATCAGTAACCTCCTGTGGCCCACTCCCCCCCACCACTGCCAGGTCCTGCCCCATCAAGGGATCAAGGGCAGCTCAATTAAATCTACTGCATGCAGAATTCTAGGGTTGCTAATTCCCCATTTGTCCTCCAGCCTTGCTCTCTCTCCTGAGCTCTGACACCCACTTCCATGGCTAACTGGTCATTGTTACTGGTATGCCTCTCAGGCAGATAAAACTCAACAGGCCCAATACTAACCCATTCTTTCCTTTCTAAACACTTGCACTTAATTCTGTTTCCCCATTTTGCTTACGTGCCATCTCAGCAAACCAAGCTGATGTGGGAGACGTGCATAACGGGAGGCCTGGCCCTCACCACTAAGTAGTGATCTGATGCCTCTGGCCCAGCCCAGGGCAGGCCTGGACTTGCCCACAGAGGTGAGACTTTGCTACAGCGAGATACAGAGGCAGCAGTTTCTATCTGGAGAAGCCATACTATAGTCCTCAGGTCCTTAGTTCCTTTAATGCCACTTAGGATACCAAAGACATAATGAGATGGGAAGAAGAAGGGTGAAAGGATAGCCCACACTTTTGGGTCCTGGGAATGGTGGGCAGAGAGAGGAAGAGCAAGAGAATGAAACTATCAGTAGGAATGGTCCCATGGTACGTCCTGAGGAACCAGCTGAAGGAGGGAAAGGAGAGGGCAGCATGGGTCCTGGCCAGGGCCAGATGTCCACACTGGGGGGAGGTCTGAGAGAACAGGCCACAGTGAACTCAGTCCTCTGCAGAGTAGCCAAGTGGAGGAAGACCCTACCATTCAGCTTCTCAGGACAGGCTTGGTTCCTGCATGGTGCTAAGTAAAAGGAAAAGCAGGGGGGTGGGCATGTGGCGGGGGAGGCTGGAGAAGCCCAGATGCAATGTAGGCAGAATCAGTACTTTCTCTGACTCTCCCTTTGGCAATATGACTAAAGCCTTGAGCCATGACACATTTTGTGCCCATCTTCCATTGCTCCCATAGAATCAGTCACTCACTAAGTCCTGTCCCGTGCTTTTTTTTTTTGAGATAGGGTCTCACTCTAGTGCCCTATCTAGAGGGCAGCGGCATCATCATAGCTCACTGCAACTTTTGTAGAGACGGGGTTTCACTCTCTTGCTCAGGCTGGTCCTGACCCTAGCAATCCTCCCATCTCAGCCTCCCAGATCGCTAGGATCACAGGCATCATTCACTGTGCCTAGCTCCTGTACTTCTTCAGCATCTTTCACATGGAGCCTAGTCTCCCCTTCTACCCTGCATGGCCTGAAAGATCCTCTATGCCTTTTGCTCGAAGCATTGCAATGTCCAGTCCATTCTCCATCCTAAAACCCCCTCCCAAAATGCCAAGTGGCTTTATGCAGCTTCCTTGATCAAAGGACATCCACTGGATAAGTGTCAAACTGTGAGTGCTGTCAACAAGGCTTTGACCCAGCTCCTGGGCTTGCCTCCAGCCTTAGCTGACACTTCACCACAGGCAAACAACCCCTGTCTTAAGCTGTCCCTTTCCCCAGGACAGCCCTAGTCTGGGGGAGCTTGTCTTTCACTCCTTAGGGCTGCCCCTGCTGGCCTGTGAGCTCTCTTCCCTTAAGGGGAGGGTTGGCCACAGTGCCAGCTGAGGACACCCTAGCCACTCCCAGCACTCCTAGCCTTCTCTTCTTATAGGCTGTCCCTTTCTTCTGAAATGACCTCTATACCAGGCCAAACTCAGAATCTTGCCTGTTCACCAAAGTGCATTTCAAAGGCCATTTGGATCTTCTAGAATTGCAAGTATCAGTCCCCGGCCTGCAGCATCACTCCCTGAGCTTCGCCTCTTATCAGATCTCTCCGCTCCCATCCTTGGAAAAACTGTCCCTCCCTGGTCCCAAAATGGTTGGGAACCACTGCTCTAAAAAGTTATCTCCCCACCCCCAGCTTTAACAATCACACTCAAAACGTTTCACATTATATTCTGCCTGGTATTACAGTTTCCTTCCCAATTATCCCCACTCTTCCCGTTGCCTTCTAGAAGCTACCCGGGTTCAGAGGATGTGCTTCCCAGGCCTCCATGCCAGCAGTCTCTGCGACCCAAGGGCGCTCAAGGACTGTCCGTACTTCCGTACTACCCACATCCACGTCAGTTCCCTGCGTGGGGACTTCCACAGGCCTCCAGGGCAAAATGCTAGAGAAATTAATAAAAGATCCCTAGACTTAGTTCCTTGTTCACAACTCACCCTTTTTCACAACTTACAAGCCATTTAACCCTGGCAAAGAATAGGTGTTCAAGAGATATCTGCGCATATGAAACAACGAAAGGGTAAACAAGGGAAGCAGAATTCCTCCTAAGGGAGGTAGCCGGCTTTTGTGGTAACGAGCTGCTTCCCACTCCCAACTCCGACTCTCCATTCATCCGCCCCGCCCCCGTTAGTCCCGCCCACAACTCAGTATCGCCCCGCCCCATCACACCGCCATCCACCTACCCCGTCCCGCCCCCTCCCGTTTCACCCCGCCCACCTGCCCGCATCGCTCCGCCCTCCCCCGGCCAGCGCGCGCCCAGCTCACCTGTAGGCCCAGGGCGACACGCTGCGCAGGTTGGTGGGCGGACGGAAGCGGCGGTCTGCCGGCCTGCCCCCTGCCGGGCAGCTCGCGTTGCGCGCTTGCTCGCGGGGCCCCAGCTGCAGGGTGTGGTGGAAGGCGCCGAACACGCCGGCCGCCAGCCGCCCGTACAGCTGCTCGAGAAGCTCCTCGGGCCGGTCCGCACAGCTCCGTTGCCGCGCCGGGCGCCTACCCACTCTCGGTGTGCCTGCAGCCCGGCTGGGTGGCAGCGCCAGCAGGAAGCCGGCCACCAGCATCCAGACCTGCGGGACAGGCCGTGCTCAGCGTCCGCGCCCCGGAGGAGCTTGCCCGCGTCCCACGTCCCTCCCGCGGCGTCTGGAGCCGGTGGGCGCCTCCCATCCCCGCGCAGACCGTGGGCCGGCCGGGAGGATGGGTGCCGCGCGGGCGGGCCCCAG